ATTACTTATGATTGCAGGTGTTTATCCCTGTTTTGGAACGTAAACATTGGATTCTCGTCGAGCTTCAGCTCCCATCCCTTAAGACAATAGTGTATGACAGCATGATAAATTACATATCATTGGCTGATTTAAGAGATATTATTAAGGGATGGAGCTCTCATTTGGCTAAATTCTTGGATGCGATCAATTATTGGACTCGTTCTGGAAACAAGAAGCCAAAGAAGCTCAATATTACAGTTATTAGAGACGAGACCGCGCCACAACAAACGGAAGGAGCCAGAGGAGATTGTGGTCCTCTCGTATGCTTGGCGTTGGAGCATTTGACGACGGGAAGCACCAAGTATCTACCTCCCACCGATAGAGATAGAGCTGCAGTAGGCTTGTGGTTTCGGCATTATATGGCTAAATCGATATATACGAGACGCTGCCTACCTGCATCCGCGTTATAAAAATGTCCATAAACAATTGGTAAGTTTATAGACTTTTGGTTTGAAAATGTTTGGTTAAGTACCTAGAATTCAATAATTTGCTGTTTGTAGGTTTTAGATGTGTAGAAAGTGTTGTTTGAGCAAATGTTTGGTTTCTGCAGGTTAATCTCAGAAGTGAACTGCGTGAAAATGATGTATGGCTGCAAAAGTTGATTCAATAGTTTAATTGATTGTTTTTTGATTGTTTAATTGATTTGTAAAAGTTGATTCAATAGTAGATGATTGGAAATAAGAATTATTGCTTATTTTTTGATTGTTTAATTGATTTGTAAAAGATGATTTGTAAAAGTTGATTTGTGTAATTGATGCGAACATAATTCTTATTTGTGCTTGTTTAATTGATTGAAATGTAATGGTTGATTTTGTTGATTTCAATCTGCATTATGTTGAAGGCAAAAATGACTATCGCAATGCGAAATGAAAATCGCAATGCGAAATGAAAATCGCAACGAGAGAATCGCAATGCGAAATGAAAATCGTAATGCGGAAATGAAAATCGCAACGAGAGAATCGCAATGCGATTTTCATTTTGCATTGCGATTTTCATTTCGCATTGCGATTCTCTCGTTGCGATTTTCATTTCGCATTGCGATTTTCATTTCCGCATTGCGATTCTCTCGTTGCGATTTTCATTTCGCATTGCGATTTTCATTTCGCATTGCGATTTTCATTTCCGCATTGCGATTTTCATGTTGGGATTTTCATTTCGCATTGCGATTCTCTCGTTGCGATTGTAATTTCCGTGTTGCGATAGTCAAATGCATGCCTAATAAGTGATAACAACTGAATAACAAGAGTTGGTTAAGTCAAAATGGTTGGCCTGAGTCATTAATTCAACTGAAAATGTTAAAAGTTCACACATAAAATCCACATAATACAACGTTTGCATTTAAAAATCACCTAAGTTAACAGTCCCAAAAGGTGAAGCCAATTGTGATTGGGATTTTAAAGATGATTGCCTTTTGCTTGACACCATATGAGCTTTGGATTTTGATGAGGATCCATATTTTGGTAGAGGAAAAGATGATTTTGATGGCACTGGTGATCCACATGTCAACCTTGTATGACCACTTTCCTTGCACCGACTACATGTCGATCTCTTCTTCTCTTCACCCTTAGACGGTATACGATCGTGACTTTTTGGTCGGCCAGGTAGCCTTCTGTCCATGGCTGGTGGCAAAACTGTTTGTAAGTCATCTGGTATGTCCCACTCAGAAGGATGTAGAATAGGGTAGACAATCTCGGCACAAGTCTGTCGATAAACTTCTGTAGTGTAGCAATCCATAGCGTATGCGCTTGAATCATCTTGGTTTAAATGAAGAGCAACTTTTATAACATGGCCACACGGATAACCAGATGTTTGCCATTTCATACAACTACACGTCTTTGCATTTAGATCGACTAGCCCATTTAAGTTATTATCCAGTACTTGAAACAAAGTGTTTGAACATGGTTCAACTCTCCATGACGTTGACTTCACAACACGTTTCGTTATCTTTTTTTCAGTCCATGGTGTAACACGATGTTCCAATGTTCCTGTAAATTTAAATAAACAATACTTAGTAAAATATATAAATATGATAAGTTACGAATTCAAAGAAATAATACTTGCATGGTTTCTTTTCTTGTAGTACCACTGTTGAATAGAGGCTCGAAAAAACTCCATTAACATAGTAATGGGTAATTTCCGGGAATGACGACTTAGAGCGTTGATTGATTCTGTACTATTAGACGTCATGAAACCATATCTTGCTCCAAGTTGATGTACTCTTGACCATCTTTCAAACCCGACATCTTCTAGTGTTTGAGCACACTGAGGCAAAACACGTCTTAAACAATTTATATGCTTATTGAAATCCACTTCCCGATAAGCTTTTACAGCCTTCCAGTATGTCCATTTGTGCTTTTTTATACCAGCAGACCTTGATTTTAGATTTCTATACAAATGAACACCACAAAGTCCATGAAAAGCATCTGGGAAACACCTTCTAACAGCGTTGTCAATTGAGTTTGCCCTATCGGATATGATTGTCAGATTGCTAATAGGACCTATGCAATCCCTAAGATGCCCTATAAACCATGTCCATGAATCAGAGGTTTCAGATTTGCCAACCCCGTAAGCTATTGGCAATATCCCATTGTTAGCATCCATGGCTACTGCTAATAAGTTTACTCCAAGGTATCGACCTTTCAAATGTGCTCCGTCAACTATAATAACTGGGCGCATGCAAGTAATAAACGAACGAATCTACAAAATAATATACACAATAAATATAATCATTTAAATGTGAAATGCATGTAACTAACAAAATGAGTCAACAAAATTATATTGATTTACTAACCGTAGCACCAATGGCGATAAACAGCAACTCAAAGTGTCCATCTCTATCTGTTTTGATATGAGTTACCGACCCATGATTTTTCAGCTTTAAATTGTGACAATAAGCCGGCAGTTGGGCAAACGATGCTTCTGGCGACCCCCTCAACAATTCCAAGGCATAACATTTGGCTCTCCAAGCTTGAGAATATGATATACTAATCTTGAACCGAGCATTCATGTCAGTCATAATTTCATGTCCCCGATATACCCTGCCATTCAAAAACATTAACTCAGCCAGAAAACCACCCAACACCTTTTTGTTTGCCTGTCTATGGTGAGGAAAAACTTGGGTTCTTGAACATGTATGTTTATCAATAAAAGTCCTAACTTGAAACATTTCGCAATCTTTTATTCTCTTTGCAATCATACGCCACGTACAGTTTTTGTCAATCATACACCTTGTTTCGAAACGATCTTTGCTTGATTTGTTAACTTTTAGTTGATAGCCATCTTCCACACATTTCGTATACAAAGCTATCTTCAAGTCTTCCTTTGTATCAAAACAATCATCTTTCTTGATACGAATAACTTTTGTGTAACAATCAACTGCTTTCTTTACCAACTCTTCTTCCGGTATCTGAAGTAATTCTGGCATATTCCAGTTATACGCCCGTGGCATTTCTTTTCTTCGGGGACTTTTTCTTCTTCTTTTTCTTCTTCAGGATTATATGAATTACAGAATGGATGTTCAACATGTTCATTCACAGTCGTAACTTCCTCCTCATTATCATCAACAATACATTCTTCGGCAACGGCTGTTTCATCATCAAAATTCGGGTATTGACCAATATCAAAATCATTACACGCAGGGTCTGTTTCTTCTTCTGAAACATCATCAAAATCCGTGTATTGACCAATATCAAAGTCCGGATATTGACCAAGACCAAATTTCGAATACTGACTAGTACTCACAATTTTTTCTGTTGGCTCATCATCGTCTAACTGGTCAATACGAAAACCGGAATTTGGTGCTGAAAGTTGATTGGGATTTGGATTAGAGAAAGGTTGTGGGTTTTGAGAAAAACTTAGTTGATTACTACCCGCTACTGACCCAACAATACTACTTCTAGGTTCAACAACATACAATGTAACATCATCTTGTGAAACACTAATATAAGCAATGAATCGTTCAACATCTTCATTGTCGGTTAACAAATAAACTTTACCATTTCTCTGAAACACGTAGCATTAGAGTTTCATAAGTTAACTTTTGTAAAGACAATTTTAGTTGAAGATTCATGGGTAAAGGCATATATTGTAAAACACCATGAACATTATCCCATGACCCTCCAAAACACAAATCTATCCAAACATGATCAACATTAGATGATTTCATGGTTGTAAATTAATTTACTAAACAGACGAGCTGCGAAACTAAAACCTGTTGCCGGATTGGGAAGGATGTCGTTGGATATAGGAACGGATGTCGCCGGAGAGAGTGATAGATGGAGATGGAATGAGTTGCGATTTAGGGATTTAGTTTATGATTTGCTGCTGTTGCGTAGTTATATACCCAAAATTTCAGTGTTGTGATTTACAGATTCTCGTTGCGATTTACGGATTATCGTTGCGATTTACAGATTCTCGTTGCGATTTACGGATTATCGTTGCGATTTACGGATACGCGTTGCGATATACGGATACGCATTGCGATTTACGGATACGCGTTGCTATTTACGGATACACGTTGCGGTTTACGGATACACGTTGCGGTTTACGGATACGCGTTGCGATTTATGTGTTCGCGTTGCGATTCTGGAAAATGCGGATTTGTACTATCGCATTGCGATTTTCAAGAATCGCGTTGCGATTTTGGAAACTGATTTGCGATTCTAGGGATCGCGTTGCGATTTTTATTTCGCGTTGCGATTTTGTTGGTCATTTTGGCAAATCCAAAAAAAGTTGGTTAAAATCGTATATTATAAGGCATTTTTGGTCACTGAGGCGATTTTCTCTTTGTTATATCATTGGACTCATAAATAAATTTGTTTAATATTAATTTTTTTAATATTTAAATTTTTATAAATTTTAATAATGTTAAGTTCCAACGTGTAAAACTTGTTTTATTTTATGCCAATTGTAATTAATTTTATGTAATTAAGCTTTTAATGCTGTAACCAAACAATCTCCACTTATTTTTTTTCCACCTTAACAACGAAATTACATGGACAATAGCAAAAACAATTGTGGTTAAAATAAACATAAATGCCGGCTCTCTCGACTATTAATGGTGTTTTAAGGTTGACGTGGTTCATTATTGTAGTTGGGGTTCGAAGTAGAGCAAAGACAGGAGCCATGGTCTGGATGTGAACGTCCTTTCTTGGATAGCTTTTGCTTCAGCTCGGTCAACAAAGCCTGGTTCTCCTGGTTCAGCTGTTGAGCCTTCTTCCTCAACCTCTCGTTCTCTTTGATTATGCAGTGGTTCTGCCAATAAAGCTGCGAGTTGAGTTTATCCATCCTGCTTTTCATTCCCTGATAAAAAAATTTCTGCAAGCAGAAACATGATAAAACAGTAAATCAAATGACGGTAACTTTAGATGGATTACAAGAAAGATGGAAGATAGAGAGGGAAAAGTTGATGAGATGAGAAAGATCATATGAAGCAAACCTTGAATCCCTTAATTGAGAGCATATTTTCAGAAATTAGAGATTGAGGGGTTTTGTATGGGGATTTAAATACAAGGTTGACTGTAAAATCAACAAAGGGCCGGCCATCTGCAAAGCCCCCATGTCTGCCTTCTTTTTCTCTTGTAGGTCATTGATTATGCTGAAACTTTAACGGTTTAAAATACACGAGAGATTGGGTTGGATATGAAAGAAGAAAGAAGAAAGAAGAAAGAATAAAGAATAAAGTTGATTAAGTTGTTAGAAGAGTGAAAAGCACCTTAGAGAAAAAAGAAGAGAGATGCTTCAGGGACAAGAATAAGATGACACTGTTCGTGTTCTCCATTTATCTTTGATATTTTCATTTAACATTAAATACATCCATGTTAAATGTATATCACATCCATAGATTTTTTTTCTTCGGTCCCTTAAAAGAAAATAAATCTCTTAATCATTGAAGTTGTTGATTCATACTATATTCATTACTTCTACTCGAATTCGAATTCAGATAACGTAATAGAATTTACAACTAAAGATCGTGACATGCATGCTCGTGTGATGGCAGCCCCCGCATCGTATACCTTCTCTTTTGTGGGTTCGCTTTTTGGGATGATGCTAGGTGCTGCTCCTTTACAAAGATATAATCAGAATCAATATCTGAATATAAACGAGATTTATAAAAGTAAAACCCCTAAATCGAGTGTTAATGTGTTGTAGGAATAGGGGATACCTTTACCAAGCATTTCAGAATCAATATCTGAATATAAACGAGATTTATAAAAATAAAACCCCTAATTCGATTTGTTTATATTAAAAAACAAGTTCACTTATTGGTTCGTTTATCAACTTGTTTATAAACTCATTTACTTGCTTCTACTTTTTCTTTTATTTATATATTTTTAATATTGATGAAGATAGAGACTAAATTGAATATAAGATGAATTTTAGAGTTTAAATTGTAAAACTTAAGAAACCTAAGGACCAATGGTGTAATTCATCATTTTCTTTGACATGCAAATAAAATGATAAAAAGAGAGTGTTGATTGTCTAATATATTCACAAACGTTAAACGAAAATTTTCACCAGGGTCGGTCCTGGGCCGGGGCAGGAGGGACGCTCGTCCAGAGCCCATAATATTTTCCATAGTATGATTTTGAAAACTTAACAAAATAGGGTATATTTCTTTTATTTCGCACTGAGCTAAAAAATAAAGAACATAAATAAGGGTCAATTTCTTTTATTTTGTCTCGGGCAAAAAATACCCAAAATCGACCCTGATTTTCACAAATGATAAACAAACATGTTTCCGAACGTTAAATGAACAAATGAAAACGAACATCTTCAAAAATAAATAAATAAACATATATGATACTAAAAATTTAAACAAATAATAATTAAACATAAATATTTTTAAAAAAAATAAATGAACACAACTTTATTTGCTTAATTTTTTATTCCATTACACGGTTGCACCTGTCCATCACATTTCAAATGCCAGGGTGCAGGCATGACCTAAACCTGTCAACAGTGCCGGGAAAATCCAAATCTAACATTAAGGTGTTGAGTAGCTCAAACTCGATTCGGTTAAAATTTGATAAAAATTTGATTCGAATTGACTCGACTTGAATTCAAGTTCAACACGAAACCTTAACGAGTTGAGTTAAGGAAAATCCAACTCGACTGAATAAGTTCGTGAGCAACTCGTTAAATTTTTCTATAACTTTTCAATAGTTATCTTAAAAAATTATTTTATTAAAAAAATCACTAATTTACTAATAAATAATAAAAAGATAAAAATTTACTAATCTATTAATTTTCTAATAAATAATTAAAAATATTAAATTAATAATTATTATTTTACTACACTAAAAAATCAACCCTAATTATTATTTTAATGTATTTATGAATCGTTATTTTGGTGTTTAAAATTAGAATTAGAATTTGTTTCATACACTCTTTTGATAATTTTATGGTTACATTTATTAATTTATGTTTATATTAAGTTCTATATAGTATTAGTAGATTTTATTTATAGTTAAAAAGTAAAATAAAAATTCGGTGAGCTTAACGAACAATGAGTCGAGCAACAAATTTTCTTAACGACCACGAGTCGAGCAAAATTTTAACGAGCTTAACGAGCAACGAGTCGAGTTGAGCAGTAATTTTTTTATCAAGCACAAGTTGAGCACTACCCAACTCGCGATCGACTCACTCGATAAGTACCCCTTAATCATGAAGTGTATGAAACATTATATAGATTTTAGTTGTTCACTTTATGAACTGATAATGAAAAGAATGAAATGTCTCAGACTGTTTGAAGATGGAATCCCTGCACCCAGCAACATGGTTGAGAATTTACTACAAAATTAAGTTATTTAACAGTAAACTGAAGTTTTTTCCTCTACCACTTATTTCCCAATTGTCAAATTAATTTTATTCAAATGGTAAATTATTCTTTCCATAATATTTCAGAGGAAGTAAATATAGCACCACAGCCATGCCAGAGAGGGAGGGAGAGAGATTCATGAAACAATGAAGTTACTAATAAATGAACTATGGTGTTGTGAAAACTAAAATAATAATCACTTAGTTGACTGATTTGTCCAATTAATCACTTAATTTACAATTAGATGAACATAGACCAATCCACGTTATATGTGGGAACTGAGAGGGGCAATTACCCCCAATTTTAATGGTTTAATTATCTTTTAAAACATTGATAGTTTTGAAAGCATTGTAATCATGCCCTTGCTCCTCTCTATTTTTTTTTTGTATAATTGATTTTTATGACACTGTCAATTTTAAAATTAATGAAATTAAATTTTGATCTCATTCTTTGATTTAATTACTTTTTAAGATATTTAAATTTTAAAATTAATGAAATTAAATCATTAATCTTTTACTTTTTATAATTTAAATACTTTTAGGATCCTATTTATTTAAATGTTAAATAACTTATCTCCCCATAGCTCAATCATGACTCCGTCCTTGTAGACTTTTATATGGTACTAGAATATATGCACTCGCTAATCTTTCTAAAATTAAATTTGATTAGTTAATTGTAACATTTTATATGGTATTATGAAAACAAAAAACAACTCAAATGCCAACATGTTAAACTTATACGTAAAGCACATCAAATAAATGATTTATTTAAAATATTTAATTAAAAATATATTATTACAATAAAAAATTGAATTAAATAAATAAATTCTTCTTCTTTAAATCCCCATTGGAGCATCTAATGTTTTTCATTCTTCACTTTAGGACGTGTCTTGACCATGAATAGGTTAAGGCTATCCATTGCACCTTTCTTTCAAATCATAAACTTTTTATTATAAAGCAATTACTTATAATTAAATGATACATATTTGTTTATGCAATTGATTAATATTTATTGGACTTTTACTAAAATTATTTAACATTCATATGTATGTACGATGAATAGTAATTCTATTAGTTTTAGACATACAGAAATAATGCAATTATATGATAAGATAGTTTTAAACATGATTATCATAACAAATTATCACTACAGCAAAATGGGTTAATAGCGACATTTGTAGCGGTATTTCTAGAACAAACGCCGCTAAATAATGTTCTTTAGTGGCGTTTTTATACAAACGCCGCTAAAGATTAATTTAGTGGCGTTTTTGTACAAACGCCGCTATAGTACGAGTCTTTACCGGCCTTTTTTTATACAAACGCCGCTATAGACTCATTCTATAGCGACGTTTTTATAGAAACACCGCTAAATAATTTACTTTAGTGGCATTTTTATACAAACGCCGCGAAAGACTATAATTTAGTGGCATTTTTAGAACAAACGCCGTTGTAGACTCGTGATTTAGTGGCGTTTTTATACAAACGCCGCTATAGTACGAGTCTTTAGCGGCGTTTTTTATACAAACGCCGCTAAATACTCATACTATAGTGGCGTTTTTATATAAATGCCTCAAAATAATGTACTTTAGTGGCGTTTTAAGCATAAACGCCACCAGATACTCGTACTTTAGTGGCGTTTTAAGCACAAACACCACTAAATACTCGTACTTTTTAATCCGTATAAATGAAACATTTTAATAAGAATTTTTTAATCCTCTCCTCAACAATGCAACATTTGCATACTCCATCCCAAAACCCTAACGCTCCGAGACTAACAGACCCATTCACTGATTTACTGGCGAAAAGAAATGCCCGGCGTCTCGTCAGATTCTGGGAGAGGTGCTTTAGTTCCGATTTGTACAGATTCCCAGGGTTCGGCGGTGTATCCCCTCCGTCATTGTCTCAAGTCTCCAATCTCTAGGCTCTCCGTCTCATGGTCACGCGGCCACTACCTTCGGGTCTCGGTTTTCGCCGCTCCTTCCTCCGTTGAAGACGATGCAGGAGGAAAAATAGTGGAAGTGAAGCTCAGCGGCGGAGACGGCGAAGTCAGTGTTGCTCATTGGTGGAGGGTCGCATACGGTTCGGTCTCTCCTTTTGCTCTACTCCAAAGCAGAAAAACGCCGTCTCCAGCTTGTCGAAAATATCAATGAATTCCTCACCTTACAATGTTGATTGGTAATTAGTTTTCAAATTTTCATTTTTATTAAAATATATTTGGAGTTTATTTTCTTTTGTTCTGAAAAATATTGAATTTGTTGTGTTCAGGTGGGATTACATAATGAATGATTCTTTAAAGGACGTGAAGGTTTGGCGGATTAACGCTATAAAACAACTGTCTTTCTTTGCCTTTGCTACTTTTTTTCTTCTAAACAGTAGTAAAGCACTTAGGCCTTTGGGTTTTTCTTTTGTATGGGAATTGAAACATTTTTGTTCATGTATGTTTCTGGTTGAATTTTTGAGGTGGGTTTTGCTTGAATTTTGAATTAAGAGAGTCAAAGAACAATGGAGAGAGATTTCCTGGGTTTGAATTCAGAAGAACCGTGGGTTATGGTTAAGGAAGAGGTTAACACTTATGGGTACAAACAAATAGGTGCATGTGCTCTTCTTTTTTCTCTTTTTCCTGGAAACTCTTTAAAAGATTGGTTCTTTTGTTATGATGATTATCTATAAATCTATTACTGAATTGGAATCATGTAAGCAATTGTTTGTGAAAGAAAAAAGCACAAGAAGATATATTTAGTTAGTGGTGATTGTTTATAAACAAAAAGAGTTGTGCCTGTTATAGCTATGCATTTATCTAATTTTACTAGTGTTTTTATTTTCCTTTTTTATCTGGGATTTTAAGGTTTTACTAAAAGCTCAGGGATACAATGGCCCTTTTCAAACAAGGTTTCTGCTGTTCCACGGCTGATGAACTTTTAATTTTGCTAAAGGGGATAAAGCTAAAAAGGTTGGATATGATCCAAAAGAATCCCCTATGTTCATGCCCACCTCAACAATGAATGCTACTGAACTTCAGGTTTACCACTATCCCCTTGCTTTGACTGTTGTGGATTAGGCTGATTGATTTTCATTTCAATCGAGTCTGTTAGGAATTTGTAAGTGGAAAAAAAACAATGTGAGATGAAATAGAAATAAGACACCATTTCACTATGAAGAGAGAGATGCACCTTAATTTACATGTTTTTTTGTTGGAATGCTTTTTTTTTTATTTTATTGGCTTCCGATGTCTTGAATTGATATTGTTTTCGTATTTACTATCCATAAATCATTCTACCATTATAGGATAGGAGGGAATTATTTTTCATCGACACCTTCTTATGTTCAACATGATGGTAAGATGTTTTTGTCCTCAAACCATGCACCATTTATGGAGAATCATTATGCTACGGCCGGTCAAAATTTTCCTGCCAATAGCATGAGACCACAATTACTTAGAGGGATTCCGGTCACGAGCCCACGTACGATTCTTCCCACACTTGGTTCTGTTGGTGGAAGTGTTGAACCATGGTAAACTTGAAAATTCGTATGCTTTAGTTCAGTTACTGCAGCAGTATTGTTGACAGTGAGATATTGAGACTTGGTCCTAAATTTTATTTTTATTTTATAATTAGAAAATGCATCAAGACCTCTGGATCACCTGCTCAACTGACGATCTTTTATGGGGGTGAAGTGAATGTCTTTGATGATATTACACCTGAGAAGGTGCTCTTCTTTCTTTCCCAAAATTACTTTGTTTTAACAACCTTTAAGTCGGTGGAAAGCTTCGAAAGTTAACTTCATTTAATCATTTTTGTATCTTTATCCAGGCTCAGGCTATAATGTTCTTGGCTGGATCTAGTTCGGCTTATCCAAAACCCCAAGCCCAGACACATATTTTGAAGCCAGTTCAAGTTGAAAGTGTTCCTGCAAACCAGATCATAAATACACAATTAAACTCTGGTGCATCGAACCCTCACGTCGTTGCTGCTCAGTCCGGGAGTGGCTCCACTAGTACCGAAGATCAGATGATATGCAAAACCTCGGGAACCCGAACTCCATCTACCCCTATTAGCAAATTTGAGCCTCCGAAATTGCTGAATACCATGGGATATGTTGCTGCTACTGGCATGATGCCTTCTAGTACACTCTCTCATGATCTTACAAGATTTTTGCGTTCTTGCATGCATATTTTTAGCTAATTTTGTCTGAATACCGTGGGATCTGTTGCTGCTACTGGCATGATGCATTCTAGTACACTCTCTCATTCTCTTACAATATTTTTTTGTTCTTGCATGCATATTTTTAGCTAATTTTGTTTACAACTTACTTTGAATTGTTTGCCCCTAGTTCCACAGGCTCGCAAAGCTTCATTGGCTCAGTTTTTTGAGAAGCACAAGGAAAGGTTAGTTCATAGGCAAGATACTTTTGTTCTTGAAACTATTTCAAACTGCTAGTTGACCATGTTTAGATTGCATTGTCTTAGAAAGCCAAAAAAACCGCTAGATATGTGGGATGCGATATAATAGTCCTTGTGAGAAACTAAGGGAGAGACTTCAGGGTAGCGTGAAAACTATTGCTATATCGATTGCATATGCAATAATGGTCAAGTACAATAGATTAAAGCTCGATGTCTCGAATAAATATCTGTTATTTGCTGTTGTAGGGTAATGAATGCAGCATCACCATACAATTTTATCAAGAAGTCTATAGATTATGCAACTACCTTGGAATCAAGCGCATGAACGATGCCACAATCCTCTTCACTCCAAGGTTTATGATTTGGCATTAGAAGGAAATGAATGGCATGAACTTTGACTATGCTTAATTGCCATCAACTGCAGTTTATTCAGTAATTGGTGTAAGTTTATATTATTAATATGGATGCTTTAACTACTTTGCAACCTCATTCAATTGTTGTTACATGGTAGAAATAATGCATTAGTAAGAGTATGGATATATAAACCATATTTTATATATATTCAGCTCGGTGCTTTTTTGATTTTATGTGTTTTTTATTAAGAAAATTTTAAATAGATATTATATTATAATTATTTCATACTAATAAATAAATAGCCCATTATGTGGCACACATGCAGTGTGTTAACTTTATTACGTTTTTTTAATTTACAATCTCTGTTAAATTCTCTTTTTGCTTCCTTATCTTTAAGTTAGATTGTGCTTTTGTCTGTTCTCAGGTTGTTTTAGCAGAATGCTTGAAAGGATTTGGTCTTTGGTAAGCTGTCATATTTCCATCTTTATATCTTTCTGTTTGTTAGGAATGCAGTTTTGGAGCCTTTTTCTGGGTGCTATTGATTTAAAATATGTTTGGTCCGATAAGCTGTTAGAAATTATCATGAAATTCAAGCTTGGATGTTTCTGCACAATTATTAAGATCTATCTCTATATTTTGCTTATCATCATGATGGTTGCCCATGCCATAGAGTTGTTGACTGCTGGGACTGACCATGCAGAAATGTGTTGTTAACTTTTTTAACGTAAGATATAATGGATTTTCATATAAACTGATGATTTATTTGGATATGAAACTAGAGATCGGGTTTGCATTGCCATGGATGGGGCCTTTTCAAGTGGCATGCCAATTGGAGTAAGACCTCATGAAGCAAAATATCTGTGCAAGAAATGACAGGACGATACTAGCTCTGCATCATTGTTTTCCCATATAAACTGGATTTATCTCTTTGAATTTAAGCGCCTCATTGTGACGAAGAGTTTTGAAGAATGTGTAATATTAGAAGCAAAATATCTTAGATATTATTGTTTATTATAGTTAATAATGTTGAACTACATTATATTTTACGTTAATGTAAACTTTGATTTATTATTATGGATTTCATTTTTCTTGTTATGGATTTTAAGTTTGTTGTTATGGATGTCAAGTTTATTGGAAAATGCTACAGGTTAAATTTGGGTAATAAAAGAGTAGAAAACAACATTTGACAAATTAGTTTTAATTTGCAAATCAATTTCTTTTAGCTATAGAGAGGTAATTAGCGGCGTTTGTATCTTAAAACGCCTTTATAGATATGACATTTTGCGGCGTTTGTTCTAAAAAACGCCGCTATATACCAGATCTTTTGCGGTGTTTGTGGGAAAAACGCCGCTAAATCTCAAGACCTATTGCGACGTTTGTGGAAAAAACGCCGCTAAATCTCAACACCTATTGCGGCATTTGTTGGAAAAATGCCGCCAAATATCAACACCTATTGCGGTGTTTGTTGGACAAACGCCGCTAAATATCAACACCTATTGCGGCGTTTGTTGTAAAAACGCCGCTATATATCGTTACCTATTGCGGCGTTTTTTGTTACCAAACGCCGCGAACTTTAGCGACGCTATTTGCAGCGGCGCTTTTTGCGGCGTTTGTCATAGCGCCGCAGGTATTTTTTGCGGCGCTTAAAAACGCCGATATAGGTAAAACAAAACGCCGCAAATGTACAGTTTTGCTGTAGTGTATATGGATTACATATTTGTGGTGAACATTTTAAGATAGTAATTGTATGGATTATCATAACACGATTGGTATAAAAAAGAATACGAGAAACGATAGATATTATCAAATCTCTTGAAAAGTACTTATGCTTGCTTGAATGTTTAACAAAACTGTATTCTCTAATCGTAATAGATTTTGATGAGTCAACTTTTCTGATTTTATAAAGTATGAGTCTTTCTTTGATGATCTATGATTCAAAACTCGTATACTTTTGGACAAAACACGTGGAATCATTTGACTTCATTAAATGATGTCATTGTTCCTTACCCAATGTACCTAAAAGAAGTGATATGGATAAACTTGGGCTCACCCCTTCATGGACACACTTCTATGTTTCATCCTATAAATAAGGTGCCTTGGCTGCTGTCCTAAACCCAAACAAAACAGAAGCAAAGTGCTAGTATATATCAACACATACACTTTCACCAAACATGGAAACACCCACCGCAGTGTACTCGCTGTCCTCGAAGACATCGGACTCACTGCTCGGTGAAGTTCGTGCAACCCATACGTTCGAGCAGTTGATCTCAAGCCCATCCTCCTGATTATGGACAAGATTTTGCAATTTGCATGATGTTGGGTTATCAATGTACGTATGTTAGTTGGCATCTTTTGTCTGGCTATGTTTATAACATGTATAATCTTTTGATATTGAGCCTGGTTTTGGAGCTTTTTGTAGGAGAGAAAAAAAGGAGGCAATGTTACTTTGAAGAAGAACACCGTCCTGCCTCACTTCGATCATGGCATGCTTGAAGCAACATTGGCTGATGTTCACATTTTCTCCGGCGAGGTTGGTTTGAATGTTCATGCATTCTACGTAGTATTCTCTAATGTTGATATAACTTTTGATTTAGCGTTATGATTTTATTTAATTGACATAATGCTAAAATTAACTTTCAATGATTTTTTAATGGTCATTTAGGTCTTTATTCTTGTTTTTTAGAGTATTTAATCCTTAGTGTTTCAATTTTTGGTCTTATTTTAATCCTTACTTAAGCGTCCATGCATGTTGTGATGTGACATTTTCACATGTGTTGAATTTTTGACATGCTACATACCACAAAGTGATGATGTGTCATGTGTCATATCACTTAAGATAATGACGTGACATGTAACACGATAGTAATTAAGCACATATGGAAATGTCATATTAGGAACATATGTTTATTGTTAGTCAACTAACAGTTTTCATCCAACGTGAGTCATTTTAATTAAAAAATGAAACGTTGAGGGCCAAAATGTTTAAAAAAAAGTAAAGGAGCTAAATTGACCTTTCAGGTAACTTTGAGGACTGATTTTGGCATTATGCCTATTTAGGGTCTGTTTGTTTGGAGTTTTCCCTGAAATCTCGTGTTTGTTTCACGTAATTCGTTTTCCGGAAAATGTTTTCCCGTGTTTGTTTCACATAATTCGTTTTCCGGAAAATGTTTTCTAGTGTTTGGTTGGAGGAAAACTGGTTGGTTAACGTAAAACATTTTCCTGATCAACATAATTTCCTTTGTGTTTTCTGGAAAGTAACTTACAGTCTGGTTATTTTCCAAACTTTTCACTTCAAATAATAAATACTCAAAATAATTTTATTTTATGAATTTAATATTAATAAAATATTTTAATATCATTTTAATCAAAATATTAATTATTAAAATATTTAAAATATATTTATTAATATTTATAATAATATAATATTATATTTTTTATATTATAATAAAATAATCAAATATATTATAATAATATAAGATATTATATTTTTATTTTAATAATATATAATAAATTATTAATAAAATTTATATTATTTATTAATTTCATAGAAATAATATTATTAAATTATTAATAATGAATAATAGTATTTATATATTTAGTATTAATATAATAATCTAATAATATTTTAATAAAGATATTTAAAATATAATAATTAATATTTTAAAATATAATATAACACTATTACTTTAATAAATAATTAATATAATTTGTAATATTTTTATTTCAATAAAAATATATCAATATTAATATTTTTATTAATAAAATTATAAAATAATATTTAATAATAAATAAATTAATTTAATATTTTAAAAATAATAATATTAAGTTTTATGATAAATAATATTATTTATTGTATTTAATATTTGTAATAAATAATTTTTAAAAAACTCATCAACTAGGGGAAAAAATGTTTAAACAACATCTTCCAAACATCGTAAAACGTTTTCCATATTTTTTTTTTAGAAAAATGTAATTCATTTTACGAAAAACATTTTCCGGAAATGTAATTTATTTTCCAGAATTTAATTTTTGGTAATTCATTTTTCAAAATTCAATTTTCAGAAAATTAATTAATGCCAAACGGAGATAATGCACATGCAACAACACTGAAGCTGCTAGAAACGCTCAAGAGCCATTCATGTAACAAAAAAGTGGTGCTTGCCTTAGCTGCTTTTACTGCGAATCTTGGGGAGTACATGCTGCTTCTTCAGCGGGGGAATACCAATTCGCTCTCGAGTTCCGTGGCTTTCCTTCGCCAAGTTTCCGAAATCGAACATCTGAACGCACTGACAGAAGAAGTAACTAAACTGGTGCAGGCCATCAGGAACTTAGAGATGTTGAATGCAAAGTTGGTGATGAAGCTGCACCAGTGGTATTTTTCAAAAGATACCCGCCCATCTCAGATGCCAATCTGGAAATTATTCGGGCTGCATACTGGACCATTCATAGTTTCGTTCAGATGGCAAGCCTTTTAGGCTTGAGAAACAAGTAAGCTTTAAATATATTTATTTATAGCAGCATGCACTTGGAACGCACTCAATCCAATGGTTTGATTGCATGCAGGAACACTTCATTAACGACGGAGGCAGGAAAAGAATTGATAATTCAGTTGGAAAATGAAGTCAGTCAGATCTATGCTATCCTTAAACATCATTACAATTCCTGCAAAGTGTATATTGGTGAGTTCTTGTTATTTGTTTATCAACACAAAATCCACACAAGTTTTTATATACTAAAAAAGAGCAACTTTATACAGGTAAGGAGATAGAAGATGCCTATCAAAGCCTGTTGAAACTTATGCAAAGACCAGGAGGGGGAGACATTGTGGAAATTCTTAACAGATTCCTTGGCGGCCAAGGCAAGGTTGATATATATAAACTGAGGAGCAAGCATGTCTTGTTCCTCATCACAGATCTTGACATCTCCCTTGCAGAGATAACACCTAAATGAGCTGTACGAGAAAACAGACAG